CCCTTCTATTAACTCCTTCCTTCTATTAGAGACACTAGAGTACGTTTGCAAAGTTCGCTTTCTCATCTAAATGGGAACGAAAGAAATGTTTTCTGTTTTCACGTAAGCGTCTAAGTGGAAGGGGTTTTCAAGCGTTTGTTACAGGATCATGTCATTTGAGATTTTCTCAGAATTCGATAAGAACTCTGCACGAAAGGGCATGTTCACTAATTTAATTAATTTATAATGAGCTATATGCTTGATTATATGCACACAATTAGCTGAGAATCCCATTTTATTTTGAGCTATATCTTTATACGTATATCCAGTATTGCATGTAACTTGCAAGGATGAAATTTATTTTTCAATCAGACCATGGACGAAATTAGAGGCAAGACAAGTTTTATTGCCAGCGTTGAAGAGAATGAGATTTGCACTGCTCAGGAACTTGTGAAACTGTTACGAGAATATGGTTGGTATCTCCGTAAATTTGTGTTTTATTATGCACCCCTTATATGTCCCATTGATAGGTTTTTACTAGAACTAAATATAGTTTCATTTCAATCCAATGCATTTCCCATGCCTGATTTTTGCCATACTTTCCGGGCCCCTGCGCAGAGTCCAAAAAGACCTTGGAAAATTCCATGTGAGAGTTGTTTATATGCGCGAGGGTTTTTGAAAAGGAAAGGTAATAATTTGTCTCTGAAGGCAGATTTCTCATTTGTATTACGTAAACGGGCATAGTAGTTGATTGGAAGCATTTGATTTGGCTAAGCGTTTTTGGAGCACATTTATTTGAGTGATTCTTGTTCGCATGTATAAATTCAAACAGCAGTGGAAGAGTCTATTTTTTACGAACGAATCAGCCATTTCTCAAAAAATGCTATTTGCCGATAACCTATGAAAGGACGTACTAGAAATCATAATTACTTTCATAGATTTCATTTATAAATATATAATTTGTTTTCACAAAAATATAAATCATGTTATGTTTCTGTTTTCTGTTAAATATGTACCCTAGGATATATTGATTCTTTAATGATTTCACCACTTTTCATCGGTTATGCTGATTTATGATTATTGCTACATAAGTCGTCATACAAAGTCACATACCATATGTAGACGCACATTTTAACTGTCTTCTAGTTCTGATACATAACGGGTATGGCTGTTTAATAATTCTAGATCAATCGATGTGTTTCGAAACATCTCAAAGTGTTTTACAAGGAAAGGCATTCGAATTAATTGATATGTTAGGTTGGATGAAATTTGGCTATCTTGCCAGTGATAGGAATTGTAGCTCTCCTGGTGGACATTGGAAATCTTACTTTTTGCGTCTTTGTGAAAAATAATTATGATAAATTAACAAAGATAACTCCAATTCTAGCCTATTACATTTCAATAAAATGTTAAAAGAATGCTTGAAAATTACGCTATTGTTCCTTTTGCCACATACGGTGCTTGGAAAAAGTTTCTCCATAGCACCCCATTTCCACCTTCAAACGGTGTTGTATTGTGTGATCAATGAGCTTAGGCGAGTCCATTGCAATGCAGTTTGTTGTTCCTTTTTAGGAGCTTTGGTTGAGGTGAATCGTGAGAGACCGAAATGCTCAACAATTATTCTGATCGACGTTGATTTCATCCTTAATCGAAAATTATCTTCGGATGTCTTTGTTTGGCACAGAAGAACCCTTCTATCTAAGCAATGGCATTGGAGTGAACAGTCAGCTTTACTATTTGCAAAATGACGTTATCGTACTTGCATATGCAACGAAGACAAGGTAAATAACCCTTACAGTATAGAACAACAGTATGTTAGGTTTCCGCTTTTCCTTGCTATTTGGAGATTCAAGGTGGTATTAATTGTTGGAAATATCATTTATTTTTTGTCATTAACTATCTTGCTTAAAGTAAAGGCGATTCCTGTATGCGAGCCGTGCCCATAGGCCAAAGCATGGAGACAAAGGATGGCCAGTTTCTTGTCGTTGTTAGTCCTTTCCTAAATAAAGGATAGAGCCCAACCTTCAGCCTTCCGAATTGCCTTACGGTGTGTCGATAGCCTAAGCTACTAAGCCACATATATTTTGAAGACAGTACAGCTGATGATATTTACAGCTGCTAACAAATCTATAAGGCTGATAGAGCGCTATCCACGAGAGCTAGAAAGAAGACAAAAGTTCCATGAGACAAAAATTCCCTTTATTAAATCGAACATCTACCCAATCTTTAGCACCATGTTCCCTGCCAGAGTTTGAAATAACATATCATTTTGAGTAATCCTGCTCATGCGACTAAGAGATGTGGGATCGGCAGACTTCAGCTTTGTATATCGGAAGTAAATTGCTTCAGATCTAGTTTGCCAAAGCAAGAATATTTCAACCCTTTCATACTATGCATGAGTTTTTTGGTCTCAGTTCAAAAATGAACACTTTGAATTTACTCTGATTTTATGGGGACGTTGTGTGTATCAAAACTACTTGTAAAGCAACAATCTTTATATTATTCAGTATTGATTTTGTATCAGTGTTTCTTGCCTATTTGCAGCCTTTTTTCCAGCCATTTGCAGCCAAGATTTTAATACTCTATATTTACTTGTTTTAAGTGCTCACTTTTTTCCAGCATGGACCGATTTGGGCAAGAAATTCATAGATTTTTCAAGTTAATTGATCTCCCACCAACCATGCCTGTTCTTCTGCAACGTTGGCTCCGACAAAAGGCAACACGAAATTCAGAAAGCCGATTAAACTTCAGGTGAATATCTCTGTAGTTTAGTTTTTACACTCACAGGAGTGTTATGGCAGCGAGATTTTTAATAGCCGGGTTATTGGCTCTTTCACTTCTACAAGCTACTTTTTCCAATTTAGTGTTTATTTTTCTATGGGACAACTTTTCATTGTGTGTGAACAGGTGCTTTCATAATTTCGATCTGGCAGAGTCTTCAGATTTTCAGTTTGTGTCTTGTGCCATCTTCAGAGAGCCCTGTCCAGCTATTCACCTGGCACATGACTAATGCGAAATGTAGCACTTGATTTTTATGGCTGCTTAACATTTTCAACAATCAGATTTATACCTTTAATGTCAATCTTAAATTAGATACCTTTCTTACAATCCAATCACACTCCCATGTGACGTTAATTGTCAAGTCACTCACAGTTTCAGAAACGTTTTAAGTTCTTCCCAGTTCACAATCTCTGAATATTGCTTGATCCGTTTTTAGGGAAATTGATAACTGGAGCTCCTGGATAAGCGATGTTTACAGAAGATCTAGAATCGATCTTGAAAAGCTAGACATTAAATTGGATATGCCAGGTTTGTCGTTATTGTGAATCATGTTCATTTTGTTTTCAAAATTTGAAGTTCAGTTTTTGTAGATGCCAAAGGTCGAACCATTCAATTTTGTTTCTTTATTTCGTAATTCGTTGTCACTTGTGTAAAGGTTGTTTCATCGTCTATCTGCTTAGGCTCAATGTCACCTGGTGCTGCCATAAAATGCTCAAACACTTGTTTTGATAATGTTGGCAAAACCAAATAAAGTCACACTCAATTTTCTCAGTATCTTCAGTGCCATTTTGGTTTTTACTGAAAAATATATCAAAATAGATTCAAAGCTAACTAGTTGTAGGTACCAAAGGGACGGTTTCCAGCTTGCTTTAAGGAATTGAGAGTATGTAAGAATGTGCCTTCTGATCAGATCACTTAGTTTATAGTCTCTTTAATTTTTGCTAGTTGATTTTCAATTGTTCTGTAATTTGGATGCAAACATGAATCGATTCGAAAAGCACTTTGTATTGTTACACACAAAGCCATCATTTTATGGACAGTCAAGCCAATCTGACTGCAATGTGTTTCATAAATTTCTGTTAGTTCATTGGTCGTTTGTGTCAAGACATGATCTAAGCATTTAGAAAACGATTAACAGACCTGCATATTACTCAATGTCATTGTTTTCTTCGCAGATCTTGGGCTGTTTCTGTCTGCTCCTTTCAGTGATTCAGCCGGCCTTAAAAGGTAATGATTTCATGTTTCATGTCACATACTTTCGTAATATTATACGTTGATTCTATTGATGTGGATGAAATGAAGACTTAAGACAACACTCAAAATCTTTCTGGAGTTGTTGGTTCCCTTTCGAAGAAGGCGGCTTAGTCGCGTGCTTTCTGTAGAAATGTGCTGGGAAATCGCTTTATCGTGACAAATTTACATACATACTTGTACAGAAAGCAAAAAGGTGTCATCATAAGTGCCTAGGCCTAAGCAAAAGTTCCTATGGTCCATAGGCTCTATGTTTCGTGCGCCTTAGATAATACTGCGCCTCTGCTTGTCCTTGTGTCTAATACGGCCTTAATGTCATATTTGGTAAGTTGCATCCGTCTTCTTTCTCCCCTTCCTCGTTTGAAAATAGAAACCCTGCACTAATTTTACATAAGGTATCCTTTTCTTTGCAGCTGGGCTGAAGACCTTTGGTTGCATCACTTTCTGCCACAAGTCGAGAGTTCTGTGGAGGAGCAGGTTGCCGAGGCAACCAATACTCAGCAGGACTTATTGATCCAAGTCGCTCTGAACGCATTCTTAGAAGGAGCTTTTTTGCCGGGCTGCCCATGCAAATTAGATATCGGTTAAGTAAGGACTAAATTTTTAGATATTTTAATCGACTCTACTAGACCTAATGCTGTCTGACCAGGAGGAATGTACTCATATTCCAGAGATTTTGTCGGTGGTCGAAACAGGGAGATTTGATGCTTTCATCAAAAGGAGGGACTTGAAAATTTTATAGAAGAAATGACCTGTCGTTCTCTGATTTCCCTGGTGCAAATCAAGTCCTGTTTCGGATGCCAACACTCTTGTTGTTCATGTGTGTAACACCTTTTGCAATTAGATATTACTTTCACAAAGTTTTTAAAGAGGCCGGAAGTTTGTCATAATGTGCAGGCCTAAGAGGGGACGTATTTTCGTCAAAATTTTCGTCGCAGAGGCACCATATTTTACCTTGTTACCTAGCAGTCCAGCCATATGATACTCTGGGTACCAGATCCTCAATAAACCGGGGATAAAGTATTGTAGACTGCTTCGGTGGCAAAGAAGGAAGCTCAAATGATTATTGTTGTTTCCTAAGTGCTTCCAACGGAGGGGCTGTAGCCCCCCTAGCCCTCCCCTGGCGCCACCACTGATTACACCTTTTAAATACAAAGCTAAGGTCTATTTTCAACTTTGAAACTTATATTGCAAAACTTTCCAAAAGGCGGACATTTCCAGTTAGCGCACACCTTGCTCTGGTCCCGACAGTGTCCTCTAAATAGAGAGAATACTGTATATTTCTGAGACTAAATAATGGAGACTCTGTCGCCCAGGGTAGCCATATGACTGTCTACTGACAAAAATCTCTTCATATCCCCCTTCAACCCTTCTTAAGATTTATTGAATTACTTATCTTCAGTTTCATTTTAAGCACTTGTTATAAACTGCCGACTGAATCAAATAAAGTTTTATCTTACTGTTCTTAAATACAAATTCACTTTTTCTAAAACGAAATGTTTAGTCAAAGTTACGTTGCAATTAGTTCTTGCAGTTAACAGCGTCAAAAGATATGTAAATGAAGGAACCCTCGTTGTAAAATAGTGCTGTACCAGAGCATGCTACGTTTCTCGTTGATAAGTATGGAAAAACCACTGCCCCAGTTTTCAACTCTTTATTATTCAAATCTATTTAACACTTAAGGTGGTGGAAAGGGACACTGTGACTCCTGACAAACTCTAAAAGAACATATTGTACTTAACACAGAACGGCAATTGTTGTACTCAACGACGTCGGAGAGTTTTTTCATTCCACCTTCTGTCGCGCCCTTTCCCGCCCTGTTCACCATTCTATCGACCCGAATCATGTTTGCTAGTTTGGTACATATTTCAACAGTTTTATTGCCACTGTTATCTTGCCTTAAAGCACAAAAATAATAGGTGTTACTACCAACATTATAAATTTTATTCCCGTCCTTTCAATAACTTAGTAACACACTCAGAAAGATCAGCTACTTGGTTTGAAACTGGTGTGTTTACTGTGTTTTGTGTAAACTATTTGAAAACTTGGTACCCTATTCAGGCGCTGTTCACTCAACCTGAACGATACTTACAGACACGGTAAAGGGGATAGAGTAGGAGGGTAAAAGTACCCTTGTCATTTGTCTTCGCAATTATCAAGAACATATATATGAGTTTCCGACTGTAGCAACTTTTTCAAAAACTCGCGTGATTATTTCGTATCTGCTAGAAGTGAGCCGTTCATACGCTTATCGGAATGGAAATATCATTTACATAACAGTAGAAGCTGCAAATCACTGTTGCAATTTTTTTCCTTATCATGAAGCTAATAGCCATGCCCCTGGACCGTGCCGGTGTCTTCAACGACTCTAGACCTCAAAGATATTCATAAAGAAATACCTAAATAGATTTTCAATGTAAAGTGAGAAACATATTACTTTATCCTCGGTGAGTATTTATAATAAACAAATTTATAACAGTTTAGGTATTGTGATGTACATGGTAAAAATTTGCCTTATCGATTTCATCCAGAAATCATGTCGTTTTTTGACTCTCTCTTTCTCTTCTGTCGAAAACAAAAAGAAAGTTCTTATGTTGATGCGCAAGGTAAGGTAAGAGCTGAGACATACTTGTAAAGCTTTTCACTGCATCGACCAGTTTCTTAATTCTCGAATACTGAGAAAAGGGACCTTATTTCGATAAGTATTTTGACAAGAAGCTCAAGGGTAAAGGAAAGCGAAAGAATGAAAATTAATCTAAATTATAGGTCCGTGATTAACAGGGAATACCCATCAGTCTACTTTACCATTCTTTGTCTCCCCCACCTTCAAACATCACTTTGCACCGCGGAGCATTGAGAAAAGTGGGGTGGTCTAAAGAAAGTGGGGGGCTGAAACCGTACAAAAAAAGGCTTTTCTGGCAGTTTGACACTTAATATTTGGCATTTTAATTATTTGGCATCTTAATATTTGGCTAAAGCCAGGCCCCCCAGCCCTCCCTGCTCCGCGGTGCCCGAGTACCTCAGTGAAGTGAGAAGTCATGCGATTAGGGTCGATGAGAACGGTCTTGCTTTTAGTACAATGTGTTTTGCATTTTACGGGCTACGTTATGAATTGAAGATATACAAAAACAGAACCAAGGTGCACATACTGTGTGTTTATCAAGTTTCAGTAAGCTTTTGCGTTTTCAGTATTGCGTTAACAAGTTAAATCGTCTGGCACGTGGCGAAGTAGGCCCACCACACCTTGAATTCCTGATGCCATTTAAACCTGCAAGTCAAGCTCTTGTCATGATGGGAATACAATCAGGAAGGTTATTAATGATGCTGTTGCAAACCCTCTCTGGAAAGACTACATAAATGACAAGCAGGAGAATCGATGTTGCAACGGAGCCTCTGTAGCAAGAATTATCGGCGCCGAGATGGAGTTGTTGGGCATTCCCTGATTATGAAACTTGCATCGTGGAAGTACTTCTCTGCTGCATTTAAGGGTAAGAAAAAGTTGGTAATTCAGAAAATTATTTTGAATATGACTCCAAGAAAATCAAAGTTTTTCAACGGTCCGAGTGAAAGTGGAAGACAACCTCAACGTCGATTATTCGTTTAAATACGATAAATGAGCATAAAAATATATGTAGGGGAGTCAAACTCTTTAACTGCGAAGAAGAACGATACTTATTTTGAAATGGGAACTCATTGTGTTTGGCTGCGCTAATGACTATTTTTTCCAGGTATTTTGCCGTTCTCGTGCCAGTTTTTGTGTTGTTTTGAGTTTCTCTTGAACTTGGTGAACAGGGTACTCTCTCTCTCTTTCGGTTGGACTCTGAAGTTGTCAAGTAAATTCCCATGAAAATGTATTTCGAAGGTTCACGCCCGAATTTGCACAAGTTTACGCCCGAATTTGCAAAAGTTGACGCCACAATTCTCATTGTCATCAAAATTGAATACATATTTGTTTTCACGCAAAGGGGATTGGATTGCACACATACGTGCTGTTTTCCCCTTTTTATCAGAAATATAGTCCTTCTAGAAAATCCACAAAGTTAAGAAAATATTGCTTGATATCAAATTTAAACCTTTTCGGCCGTCGTTGATATGAAGGGTTTAGGAGGGTGGGTTGTGCGTGGTGAAATGGTCGAATTCGTTTTCTTTCGAGTAGCTTGTTGACCGTTCCGTTTCATCGTGTTTCGTGATCTACAATCCCGTACAAAAATAGTTGAGACTTTTCAGGAAAACTTTATGTTCTTGAAAAATAACTTCCCCCCTCCCCCAATTCAATGTTGAATGCATGATTTTGTAGCAAAAATGATAGAACGACATACAAATCCAACATTGCTTCAGGGGAAAGGGAGGGATTCGAATTTAGAAGGGCAAGGTGGCGTTAACTCAGTTCAGTTCATTTTATTTTTAAAAATCCATACATACAAATCTTTTTAAAATACAGCAACAGGTTACAAAAGATTAAATGAATTGTATATAATGAGAGAAATAGAGAACAAACAAAAAATATATATGATTTTATAAAAACGAAGGAGATTTGCATCCAGAAATTTCTTAAAGGAGGAGCTCTCTCAATAGATAGACTAATCGAGGAGAGAGCACGTCCTGTGGTAAAAATAGTAAGGTAGTAAGGTAAAGTAAGGTAAAGTAGAAAAATGCAAAAATTGCATCTTGTCTCAACATTTTTGTCCGGGATTGTAGTTTCAGTTTCAAGATATTTGCTTCACTTGCAGTAGAAAACACATACAGTGATCGTAATATTGGGCTCCTAGATCTTCAATAGTATTTCAGTGCACATTTTCCTACCTTTTTCTCTCTAATCAAAGCACAAGATTCAGTTTACACTTACGAATTCAAGTGTCAGCGGGCCCATGCTCGAATATATCATCCAAGAAGTTTATCGGACCAAATTGGTCAACTATATAAGACCTTGTACCTTTGGTACCAAGTATATAACTATATATACCATCAAGAGATAATAAGAGAACTCTTAGGTACCATTGAAGGAACGGACAGAGTTGGGCGTTGCTATGGAAGGGATTGGTTCGAGGAGTTTGGAGAAGAGGAGACGTGGGGTTCCCTGAATAATATACGAGCGAGGAGGGTTGGGCTTTGTTATAGAAGAGAAGGGTCAAATGGGATGACTAGCTTCTTCAATAAGGTTGGTCTATGGAAACTTTTTATGATTTGTTTTTGCAAAAGAAAGTACCAACTTTACCAAGCTTCTTAATCTTTCTTTATGTTTATATTTCTTGTAACGCTTTGCTCAACTTCTTGTGCTTTAAAGTCTATTCAAAAACTTTGCAAGAGCCATCAAACGTCTGTCAAATTGAAGCCAAAACAATATAGTATTATTATAATAACAATTTCATAAATATTGCCTGGAATCTTCCTTGATTCATCAATCAATCGACGTTCGAAATAAATGTTATTAATATAAAATGCAGATTTATTTTCCGGTCATCTCAGAATGTCAAATTTTCAACATTTTTCTTGCTGTCAACAATGGTGGTGGCCTTAACCAAAGCTTTAATGATGTTACTTTTTGCAACTTCCAACCCACTGTAAACTCTCCACACCCTAAACTGTGATGTCCCCGATCATCGTTCTTATGCTGTTAAGTGATAAGTGATTCTAATTTATGGCAGCCTTTAAACTGAAGTAATTCACATCTTTAGCGAAAATTGCCTGTAAATGTCCTTTGCTGCACACACTCATTTTTTTATAAGAAACGAGCTATAAGAAGAGGTAGGCTCAATTTTTCGAAAGTTAAGAAACAACCCTTCCCAAATCAAGAAAAGCTAAGAAACTTTTATAATTTGCAGTTTCAATTTTCCAAGTTGACACTCAAAACAGTCTTGACATTGAACATCACTGTGTATTGCAACACTACACTTGACATGCACTTTGCATTCATTCTCAGTAAATTGCACACTCAAGAAGTTTCCGTTTAAAATTTGTTTTGACTTCAACTTGACATATATGAAGTTCAATGAGCTTAACTGTTAAGAGATCTCAACAGAGTTAGTCATTCTAGGAAAACAAAATTTCTTGATTACTTTGTTATTTTATCTCTGAATGTGAGTGAAATATTTACTCTACCTTGGGAGCATGTTTAAAAAGTTCATTACCTAAGAAACTTAAGAAGCATGTAAGAAACTTTTGATAGCAAAATGACCAGAAAATTTAAGAAGCTGCCTACCAGCACCGGACCTCAGTTTCTTATAAAAAATCCGTCTACTGAATTTTAGATGCATTCTTATAATCAATGACTAAGTCTTACTATTCTGCAGCACTCCAATTATAAATATAACCAAATCCGCAATATGCAAACTTTTTAGGCCCCTAAAGGTCAAATTCCCCTTAAGGAATACCATTCCAGTCCGCCCCTGATGGACCAAGACCAGGGGTCTGAGAAGGATTCGAACGAACTTTTGTCCTAACGGTAGATTTTGACAGGTCACACCCTTCAAAGTGCTGGAAAATGCCGATCGTTGAAAATGAATTAATTTTTTGCTTTGTTGTTTGTACGCTCCAGTGGCTGGTTTTTATCAAGCATAAAAACAGAGTCCTTTGTAGCTTTTTGGGTTTGCCTTTTCCATTTCACAATTGACAATTTGCTTAACAATTCTCCTCATGGCTTTAAATCGTTTCAGGCTCGAAATGGTAAAGAACTGTTTTTCACACCTTTGGTAGGTACAATCACTGCCAAAAGTTTTGGAACGCTAGCGTCAGTTTTCAAAAGCAAATTCAGCCACCTCCCTCTCCCTCTTAGAACAATGTTGATCTACTATAGGAAAAAGGAAGGGGTTGTGGAATACGCTTTTTCGTGTGCCTTGTGTGATATTTTTCTATACTTTCAACATTGTTTTGGATGGAAAGCGGGAAGGAAATAGTTGTATTCGGGAAAACAAATGAAAAATAGAAAAGCACAGCGCAAAGTGTTGGGTGTTCCAAGTAATTTTGGCAGTGATTGTGGGTAGGCATAGGATATCGTATACTAAAAGTCCAAAGAAAGTCCATTCTTCTAGCATCAAAATCTGTCAAATCCTTGACAAGCAATTTCGATATCTAGTCTTTTCAAGAATGTCCGATTCTACTGACATCAGCATTAGGCCTTGTAGCCTCTCTTGTCACTGAGTGGATGCCCTGCCAGTAGTGGATGCCCTCTCAGCACTGAATGATGTCAAGGTAACGAGTGCGCAATTTTCATCAACCTATTCGTTTTCTATTACACGCCATGTCATGCCGGTGATTTCTTTAAAGCACGCCACTAAATCTGAAAATTTCTGATTATAAATGTACGGCACGATCTCGTAAAACTGGATACTGAAGTTACCTCCTCAACAGCATTTCAAAAGTTATCTGCTGCTAGCCATGTTTATAGAAGAACATCATATATCCAATTATAATTTTATTGGTTGTCTCCCAACATCTATCAATTCATTAAGTATTTCTTCTTCTGAATGCAAAGTTGCTTTTGTAATCAATTCTTTATCAACATTGAGGTTACCAACTGCGTTTTTGTCAAGTTTGCAATCCTCACGAACCTCCACTCTCAGTTTCTGCATATCTTTAATCGTGATCTTTGAAAGGGTCTCGAATATTGGTATAACTGCATTTCCTATGCAATAGACCATATTAGGGTATTTTACGATTCCTATTATCAAAATAGCAGACAATTCTGTTCCATGGCAAGTAGGAAAAGATTTTAGACCGCGAATTGTCGGGTAAATGGGTGGTCAAGTTAGCGAATGACTTTTAAATTCAAACCCTTATATTAAAACCATGAAAAATAGAAAATTCTGGATATCAAATGGTTG